AAGTACTGACATAAGCTTCTTGTCTATCTGTGTAAAAGGGAGATAAACTGTATTTTTTTAATTGCTATAAACATTAATTAAGAATAATAGTGAACTGAAAAGCTGAGAATCACACAAGCAACAAAAGCAGCAAAAATGTGTCCCATCCATTTGTTCTCTGGCAAGTGATGCCATAAAAAATAATAATAAAATAAAAATACCAGGACAATATCTGCTTGAAAAGAGCTCCAAAACAAATCTCCTGTTTCCCCCCAACCACTATTATCCTAATAAAGAGCAAGAAGATGAAGAATTGGCAAACCCCACCGATGAACCTCATAACTATCATCTAGTTCTTTAATATTTCCTCCCCTTATTATTATGGGTTTCATCCTTTTTACTTCATTAATCATGCTCATTTGTGTATGTTTATTTTCATGCTTAAGATCATTCAGTACATGAAAGCCAAGACAGATAACTCTTCAGAAACAGTAATGGGAGTAATGGTTCCCTGAGGGTACCGGAAGAGTGGTGGAGGGAGAAACAGGGAGCAGGTAGCATTGATAATTGCATAACCCCATTGATGGGATCAAACAGCAGAATTGCAAGTGAATGGATATATTGGATTGTGTAAGATATAGTAAAAAAAAACAAAACAACCTATCATCGGAAAAAAAAAAGATAATATGGGTTTCTGGGGGGTAGAGAATGGGAGGGGCAGGAGGGGATAAAGTGGAGCTGCTATCAAAGAGTTCAAAAAGAAACAAGATGGTTTGAAACTGATTGTGGTAGCAATTGTACATTACTGTTTGATGTGAACGTTGTGATATCTGTAAGATCTCCCAATAAAATGATTCATTAATAAAAAATAAAAAATTTTAAAAGAATTGGCTAACCCTTGAGATCATTTTCTCTAAGTCCTCAGGGCCATCCAGTCAATTACAAGTCTTATGTAGAAATGATCTTGTGGGTCTGAGACTGTAACTCTTCATGTGATGAAATACCTCCTAGTTCTCTTGAGAGTGGTTGGTAGTTTCAAACTGCTGACCTTGAGGTTAGCAGCCCACCTTGTAGCCCACTCTTCTACCAGGACGCCTTTTCTCTAAGTCAGCTCTTGACAACTGTGGACATGATTGTTCTCACCAAAACCAAATCAAACAAAACTCACCGCCATCAATCAAGTCCATGCCAACTCATATCAAACAAAAAGGACAGGGTAGCATGGCCCCAGTGAGTTTCTGAGACTCACTCTTTAACCTGGGAGTGGGGTGGTTTCAAACTGCTGACTTTGCAGTTAGCAGCCCAACACCTCATCGAGTCACCAGTCTTATCTCTTTCTTCCTACATTAAGCAAGTCTGGAGTCACAGGAGTGGTTAAGAATTTTAAAAGACTTCAGCCTTTGTTTTCTATTGTTTGTATCTATTTCTGGTTCAAAATTTAAACTACCCCTCTAATATTTAAATTAGTGAGGATCCCCAAGAATTTTTTGATTATATGAATTATATCTACTGACTGACATTATAGTATTAGAACTAAAATCTGTAAATTTTTAAAATTCAAAAGGCAATTCATAAATATGGGTGAAACTATGAAATTGTTTTCATAGGCAACTATGAAAACAATTTAACCTCATCTATGAAAGAATTGTCCATGCAAACAAGATACGATTTCCATAAAAAAAACTGCCTACATGTTTTGGATTTGTTGTATATTATGTTTGATTGATAATATCCGTTGTTGATTAAGGGAAACAATTTGCTTACACTGCCAATGAATAGGTACTATCGTTCAAAAAAAAAATGAGGAGCTGATACCAAGGGCTCAAGTAGAAAGACAATGTTTTGAAAAGGTTGATGGCAACATATGTACAAATGTGCATGATACAATGGATATATGGATTGTTATAAGAGCTGTAAGAGCCCCCAATAAAATGAAAAATGAAATATAGCACAGCCCTCCACTCCAAAAAAGATGCTAAAAATAATAATAATAGCTAGCATTTCATTACATTTTGCTCAATATTTTTAGGAACCAACTATTATTGTTGAGAATTTACTGTTGAGAACATACAATCTTAAGGAGGAAAAGTAATTGTCTTACAATGTCACAGCTTGTAGGCAGATTTATTTTTAACAAGCTGAGCAATACACTTATTAGAATCTGTCCTGGTAAACAAAGCTCTCCACATGTATTTAAGTAAGAATTCCTATCTGAAACACTAATTCTAATAGTTAAAAACTGTAACTAACCTAATAACCCAATAATTTAGTATTATGTAAAGCATGTCCACCAGACTGAAAATTGTGTAATGGCAAAAATCATAGTAGCTCTGCTGCTCATGAGACGATTATCAATACTTCCTACGCCTACTCACTGCTGTGGAGCTCATTCCAACTCTCAGGGATCCTACCAGACAGGGAAGAACTGCCCCTGTGGGTTTTAACAGCTGTCACTCTTGATAGGAGTAGAATGTGTGAGAAGGGGCTGGTGAGTTCAAACTGCTTCTCTTGCAGTTAACTGTCCAATAAGTAACCACCATGGCACCTGGGCTCTGTAGCACCGTAGAGACTCAATAATACTGAAGATAGAAGTGAATACAAAGTAGCGCACAGTTACAAAATATCATGGTTTAACATGAAACTTCAAGTTGGGTTTGGAGAGCATGTAATAAAACCACATAAAAAGGATGATCACATTTTTGTAAAATTTACTTGTGAGGGTATGCATAAAAATGTCTACAAGTATAAGCATATGTATGCATAATAAGTATGCATACAATATGTATAATATGCATAATAAGATGCATAGTAACTATTTGATGCTTGAATAAATGAATGAAGAACATTTTTACAATAATTATCCTTAAGGGGAGATTATAGGTATTCTTTTCCCTTTTCTTGGTAATTTACTATATTACAGAAAATTTTATAATAGTAACTATGCACTATCTTTGTACCACCTAAATAGTATGACACAGAATTATAACATAAATATTAGAACATTTTGAATAAAAGCATTGATGTGAATACCCCACAATAATCAGTAATAATTTGCATTTGATTTCCCTATTATGTTTCAGTTAGTGCACTCCTTAATAAAACTATCAAATGTTACAGAAAAATGGAAAGCCTCATATTATCACTAGGAATTCTTCTTGGAAGTGAGTCTAGAATTAGGTCACTAGGTCTCCAGGCAAGATTTTGGTTTTCTTTTTTCCCCTTTACATAAGTAGCTTAATAGTTCAGCTCACCAACGAGTAACAATATAGGCAGAGCAATACCTGTTGGTAGGCAGTTCCCTAGTTATAAGTTAAGTGACTAGTTCGGAGCATCAGAAGACTTCAAAGATCTCAGAAAGGTGACGTTTTCATCTACATGGAGTGTCTTTGAGTGGTGTGAACCTCTACAAATGTTTCCAGAGTGGTGTGTGTTGAAAAAGTAAGGGTGCATATGTGTATTATTCTGGGGAGAGGCGCATAGACCTCATAAAATTTATAAAGGGGCCGGCAATAAAAAGCAATTTTAATTATAACTAAAGCTATAAAGTTCACAAGCAAGTAGGAAAATATTGATGGTAAATAAAAACAAACATGAAGAAAAGAAACCACAACTAGCTGTCTTCCTCTTTTTTATTCCTGGAATATATTGTTCACTATGCAAACGATTCCATTTTAGGACCTTGCTTTCTAAGCAAGGGCACTAGGAATTATAATGATGAGTTATGAACACCAGTCAAATCTCTGTATAAAATGAATTACATAGGGTGCTAAATATAACCTTAACTCATTTTCCTTTTCCTAATTCAGCCCAATGCGCAATACTTGAAAGTGGCTTACAATGTTCAACAGAAGCAGTGTCTTCTTCCATAAAGGCTTTCCACTACAGGAAGTTTGTAAAGTGGCTTTGAGCAGATTAAACACACTTCTCTATGCATTTCACAAGGATTGCTTAATTTAAAATTTAACTCTTCCTCTACTCAGGGAATGAAGTAAATGTCTGTTTCTTACCTTGACATCAGATTTGGCAAGGCTTAAGGGACTCTGAGATACAGTATAAAACCCCTCAACTGGGTTTATTTCACTAGTATCCCTGAAAACATCTCTTTCCAAATACATGCAACAAACAGAAACAAAGTCCATCACAAATCCCCCTAGAATCCAAAGAATTGCATTGGCAAACATGCTAACTTTAGAAATTACACTTATCCAAATACTATGTTTTAATGTTCTCCATCTGCTTAGCTGAATAAACCTTTACATCATCAACCAGCTTGAGCAGCATTCTTGTTCAAGTTTTTGAATGAAAATAATTGTTTTAAGGCAAACATGGTTTAAAATTGTAGAAGATTTTGATACATTAAGCCATCATTAGTTCAAAACCCTAAAGCATTTCTCCTGCTTTATCTAAAACTAAAATACTTAAATTATTCACTAGGTTTCACTGAACTATTGCAACATCAAATCTTTTCTAATAGCTACGTTGAATTCTGCTGTCCCACGCATCAAATGATTTAGGGGTAGGGGAGTCAAAATACTGACCATCAGTTGACAGAGTTTATCAATGCTATCAGAATGAATTCTTCAGCCTTATGTTTCTTTTCGCATGAAGGCGCCACAGTGCTTCGTGTACGTTACCAAAATGACTTTTTTCATTGACACTTGGTCACTAGGCTGACAGCACTACATCCAACCCAGCGCTGCTGCGCTGCGCAGTTCCCAGGCCCCTGGAGACCACCACGTGGAACCACAGTTGGCAGTGCCACCTCACCTGAAAGGGACATCTTACCATTGCATTCTACCGAGCATGCAGACCCCACACAGTCAATCGCATTTGTCAGAGGGACCTTCAGGTCACCGAAGGGTGCCTGCTTTCAAAGAAGCAAAAGGATCTGCCAAGTTTCCACCAAGGGAAGACGAGGTTCCCCCGCGGGCGCTTCCTCCCCAGTAAAGCGCGAGCACGCAGGGCAGCGGCGGCGACCAGGGTGGCGGGTTGTCCGCGGAAGGGACGGGGCAAATGCTTACAGTTCTCAGAGTTCACGTGCGATTCCTCAGACGGCTCTATCCTTTCGGCTTTCGCTCAGGATGCTTTTTCTCCCGGAACACACACAAGTTCAAGAAAGTGCTTTTCTTGGGGGGAGGGGCTAACATGTGGGCGTGTCTCCTTTTGCTTTGCAGATGTTTTAAGGTGGAATTAAAGAGGAAGGAGGAGAGGCATTGCTAGCCCCGAAGCTATCTGAGACAAAAGGTCAATGTTTAACTATCAGACGCAAGAATCCAAGAGTTTGAAATCAGAAAGTATGTTTAAGTAACGAATTCATTAACCGACTCCAAATTGCAAGTATACTGTTGTGTGTGTGTGTGTGTGTGTGTCCCTGCCTTGTCTTTTAAGTAGTCATCACTTCCTTTTTCCCCAAAACAAGTAAGAACAAAATTGAAATGATAGAGAATAACCTAAATTTTGCTAGCATTTCTTTAAAAAGCCAAAATTTAAATAATATATTTTAGTGGATATATGACCATTTTAAAATCAAATGCTGAAAATGCAATTGTTTGATAACTATTTCTTTGTAAATCTAAAAGTAAAGCCATATCAAAATAATCTAATGCATTTATTGAAATTTAGGCGTCGGAGACCTTAAATTAGATGAATTGCAAAGGTAAATTCAAATCTATTATATCACTGTAATGAAGAATGTCTAAATTATATACTTGTGAAAATTCCACAAGAACCAAATAGTGTCTTTAAATGTTGACATACATTCATCCACTAAACCTTAGTTTTCAAACAAAAATCTTGCATTTTTATCTTTAATCAAATAAATGATTGACCAACTTAGGAAATAAAGATGTCCCTCCATTCATTTTATTCTATAGATGTATTGAAACTTACCCAACCAAAACAAAAAATGATGAATGCATTATGGAAACACTGCAAAAAAAACAAAACAAAAACATATCCCTATCTCAAAAGCCTAATGACTTAGTGATAAAGTAGATGTTAAGTTAAAAAATTAATTAATACCATAAGCAAAAGGATTGGCTTTTATTGGAGAACTGAATAAGGGAGTAGAATCTAGATTGTGGGTAGAACCATAGAAGATCTTCATCGCCAACATTGCAACGAATTCACTAATAGTAAATGTGCCCGTATTTCACTGCTGTGCTCAAGTACTCTGGTTCATAACATAATGATATTTATAGCAAAACAACACATTTGCATTCTTACTTGTCTGTCTGTGAACATTATTGGCAGGAGCCACCCTTCTCTTATATTTACAAATGTGTGTTAGTTAGCCAACTGACCCAAAGAGGAAGTAATTCTCACCTGGTGAATTTGTTTAGGATCCAACGACCTGACCTCCACCTTTCACTCAGATTAACCGAAAGACTCTTCTCTTTGGACCTCTTCTCCTTGACTCAACGAAAACAATGCTATTCACCCTTCAGTTACTACCTTGTATGGAACATGTTCCTACCGATTTCCTTTGCAAGCATAATTAATCATTACACTTCATTAAAAAAAAGTAAGAAATTTGACCAATTTGTACTAAACTTGGTGCTTCAAGGGGGAAAGAAAGCTCCAGAAGGGTAGGAGATAAACCTTTTGCACCTCACTAAACCTTCATGCTATCCCAAGCCCACTACACAGTTTATTGCATGGACTGATGTTTTCTAAATTTAATTGCTATTGGGTCAAAGATATCTTCAGAAAGACACCCAAGTAGCACTTAATCTTTCACTATCATCATTGACCAAGATTATTTTTTACTTTCTGTACTAAAGAAACTGCTTAAAATAGGAAAAGGGTATTTAGGAACAATAGAAACTACATTATAATATTCAGTTGTCAACAGAATGCTACATTGTTAGTAGTAGTGGTAATCCACCATACATTCAACATGTTTCTACTTCTACATCAGCACCTGTCTCTTTCTACCTGATAAGTGGAAACAAGAATATTCTCTTATTTTCACATTATCACATTTTATAAAGCTTTGCATCCTTGTATGTTGGGGTTTTTTGTATTTTAAAATAATAATAAGAAGACTCTAACAAGTAAAAGGATCCCTGGTGGCACAAAGTCTAAGTACTTGACTGCTAACTGAAAGGTCAGTGGTTTGAATCTCACCCAAAGGCTGTGCAGTAAACAGACCTGGAGATTAAGTCCCTAAGGATTACAGTCTGAGGAACCCTATGGGGTGGTTCTACTTTGTCATGTAGAGTGATGGTCACTACGAAGTGGACTCGACACAGCAGCATACCAAATAAAGCACACATTGAATATGATACAATTACCCTTTACATTGAGCCTCTAATGAACCAAGTGCTTTCTATTAGCTCATTTACAGTATATTCATAAAGGGATATATATATTTATTTAGAAGCTTGATATAAGTTAATTACATAAAATTAATAATCAAGGCAGGATTTCTATCTGACAAACCCCAAAAGCATCCTTTGATGACACAGAAGGTTAAGCATTGGACTATAACCAGGAATATTGGCATACAGACTCACCTAGAGCTGTTTTGGAACTAAAGGCTGGTGATCTATTTTGGAGAGGTCACAGAACCGGAAATCTTATAGAGAATTCTGCTCTGTACATATGGACTCAGTACAAGTCAGATCAACTGGCCAGTAAATAACAGCAAATCCAACTCAAAAGTCCACAATTTTTCCAGTACATTGTGCCCTCTCTTATAGAAAGTTTTGTTTGAGAATCTTTTTAAAAAATCAGAGTTAATATATATATATAATATATATCATTCCATAGTTCAATCACATCAAGAAGTATTGTACAATTGCTACTATAAGCCGTTTCCGAACATCCTTTTCCTTTCTGAACTCCTTAACATCATCTTTCTCCACCACCCCTACCCCCACCACCACCCACACTGTACCGACCATCCAGAAACCCTTTTTCTACTTGCTGTCCCTATAGGTTCATCAATCCAGGGTTTTATATACCATAAAACAGAAAAATGTATAACCCAAATTCACGAGGGTGGCTCCCAATGACATAACACATCTGAGCTAAACCCTAATATGGACAAAAAATAAAATACAGAAAATGTGGAAGATCACATCATTAGATCTGGTCCAGTGTGCGTCAGAGGGGGGAATCAGCCAACCAGGTTGTTAACTGTTCAAGTCAGGTGTATCCCTTTGATCTTCTGTAATCACCTCTCCAATGTACTCTGTTTAGTAACCACTTTCCTCCCATCCATTTATCATAGATGGAGCGAGATCACCGGAGGCTTATTCCTATGTAGTTCCCATAAATGTATCTTGTCCTTCCACTGTCATCTGCAGCCTTCTGTAAACTGTATCCTCACACTTTAGGCTCTGATACTATTTGACTTTAGATTTTGTGATTTACAATCCATCGCTAACGGATGATGGAAGGGATCACAGAAGACAGGGGTGCTATAGCAAATGTGGTGAAGAAATTAGATGGTGCCTGGCTGTCAGACAAAATAGTGTCTGAGGTCTTCAAGGCTTGTCTCCAAACAAGCAAGAGCAGAGGACTCTGAGGCAGAGCAGTGGGTGGGTTTTCTGGTCCCTGAAGGCAGAGGCCTTGCAAGGGCTAGAGAGAGGTGTGGCTCCTGGCTTAGCAGGTGTGCTATTGTAGACCAATTAGTGTTTTACTGGTGGCCCGATCCTGGTTTGTGGTAACCTATTAACTTTCCAAAGAAACTCTCACAATGGGAGTAGTGTGAGTGAGTTTGTGTGCCTATTGAAACAAATGATTGAAGCCAGCATAGAAATAGAGTGCTCTGAGGGGAATGCTTGGTGTCAGAAAAGGGTAAGCAAAGATGGAGGGTGAGGGCATGGCTGCACGTCCATCTTTGTCATGGCCATGGGACAAACAGAGGGAGGCAGTGAGGGTGCTTCCCTCCATGCAGTGTTCATAGCCTTAAAAATGTTTCTTTCTGCTCACCTTGACCGCTTAAATCTCTTTTCAGTTTACCATGAGGTTATCTATCAGTCTAGTTGTGACAATTTTAGTTTCCTTTGCGCTGAGTTGCAACCCATCCTGAATGCTGTAGCCCTTGATCTTCATCAGCAAGTGCTTCAAACCCTCCTTGATACCACTGCAAGGTTGTGTCCCATGCATAATGCAGGTTGCTGATAAGCCTGCTTCGAATCATGATGCTGTGTTCCTCATATAATCAGCTGCTTGTATTATCTGCTCAACATAAATACTGAATACGTATGGTGAAAGGATATCATCTTTATATACACCTGCCCTGATTTTAAATTGCTCCACTTTCCCTTGTTCTATTTGAACAGCTGTGTCTTGGCCCCTGTACAGATGCCCCATGATTGCAGTGAAGTGCTCTAGATTCCCATTTTTCTTAATGTTAACCATAGTTTGTTATGATTTACACTGTCAGATGCCTGTACATAGTCCATAAAACACAAGTAGTCATTTTTCTGGTATTCTCTGCTTTCAGCCAAGTTCCAGCTGATATCAGCAATGATACTCCTTATTCTTTGTCCCCCTTGAATCTATCTTGAATTTCTGGGAGCTCCCTGTCAGTGTAATGCTGCAACTGTTGAATTATCTTCAGCCAAAATTTTCTTGCATGTGATATTAATGATATAATTCAATAGTTTGTGCATTCTATTGATTCATCTTTCTTTGGACTGAGCACAAATATAGATGTCTTCCAGCCAGTTGGCTAGGAAAATGTCTTTCTGATTTCTTGTCATAGTTGAATGAGTGCTTGTTGAAACATTTACGTTATATTCTGTCAATTCCTGCGACTGTGTCTTTTGGTTTTTGTTTCTTTTTCTTTTTTTTTTTTTGGCTAATGCCTTCAGTGTATCTTAAACTTCTCTATTCTGCACCATAGGTTCTTAATCATATGCTGCCTCTTGAAATAGTTGAATATAAACTAATTCTTTTTTGTGCAGTGACTCTATACTTATTTCTATCTTCTTTTGATGTTTCTTGCACCATTCAATTGTCTGCCCATAGGATCTGTCACTATTGCAACTGGAGGCCAAAAATAAATGTGACTTACTATAGAGTAAGAATATTATATAGAGTTACTATAGAGTAAAAATATACCTATAGAG